TTAGTTTCTATATTTAATAATGACTGTTAAAGGCATAAATGTTGCCGTTCTCTCCAGTTATTACTGTTTGCGGAGGCCCTCGAGCAACACAATGAACTTCGCGGCCCAGATTATGTTATGTGAAGGAGAAAATACACCTATCTCAGTCCATACTACAGCCATGCACGTTCAACTTTCCGTTTTTAGTGCTCCCAATCAAAACTCTCCAGTAGCACAATCTCGTGCCCTTTGTTCTTATTTACACATGGCAGTTACGTAAATGCAATTGTACACGATATGTAGCTGTAACCCTTTGCTCGTTCGATAGGATTAGTGCGGATAGTACGTGAAGCTGTGCTAAAGCAGGTCTTTTTCCTAAGCTAAAGGTTCGAGACTTTCGAAAATCAAAAGTAGTGAATGAAATCAAAGTAAGCTTATAAACCAGAATAGAGATAGTCTTATTGTCCTGATCGACACACGTCTTAGATGCTTGCTTGAGTTAGTTTCTCTCTTGTACTTCTTCTCTGGTGTCTGGCTGATCCTGCAAATATCTTTTAGGGCAGCAGGGCCGGCGAACAGTATGCGAAGTGCATGAGACAACGGTCATGTCAACGAACTCTCTCTGCATGAATTTTTGCGATGGCGCTTCTCTTCCCATTCGTACCTTAGATTCTCTTCTTGCAGGGCTGAATGATCCAGCCATTTTTTTTAGCTAGCTTCCGTTGTTTTGTCACCACCGTTTAAAGTTCTTTCGAAAGCCCTGGGACCATTTTAGTGTAACGAGCAATTTTCGCGATGGTTGCAATTGATAACAAAGACTTTTCGGTGTAAGCTAAGAATGCTTGGAAGTGACCAACTGGCTTACTCCCTTTATTGATTGACCAGAAAAAGCAACTAAAAACAAGGAATTGAAATTCTTTTGAAGTGGTGACTTAAGGATCAAGCTAACAAACAGATGGCTTTCGGAATCTGGTTCCTAGAGCCTGCGATACTCCTATCCAGCCGAACAGGCAATGGATGCTCCTGACGAATCCAAAACCAGACCCAGTAATCCTAGTTACAGATTAATTGCGCTTGCCTGGAGCTGTTTACCTACAACAGTACTGTGCAAAATACTGGAATAGTTATCTTCGGCTGTCAAAAAATCAGACATTATGCAGAAATAAGGTAATTATTTATGTCAAGGCGTGGTAGACTCACGTGATAACTCGCTAGGTCAGGCTGTACCAGGTACTGCAAATCTAGCCAACAATGTTATAGGGCGGTGTCATGGTTATGTAAGTATATTGAAGTATTTACTCCAGTAATTCTTCCTTCTCTCCCTGGTCATCAACCTCGGCCAGATCACAAGCAAAATCTTTTCAGGCAAGAACTTCCTTTGTTTGTATTCTCTTTAATTTCTTTTTTCTTAATACCGCAAATCCTTGTTCTAATTCTGGGTCACTCTTTCATTTGCCGTCTGCACGATTTTCTTCGGCGTAATGTTAATACGCCCATTGCAAAACATTTAAGTTTAGAACGCGATCTGCTCATAAGAAGGCATGCATGTCATTGGAGGAAGAATTGTTTCGAAAACTAGGGAGTATGATTGATGTGTAGTGGAGGAAATCGCTCCCAATGTTGATTTCAGTCGCACGTGCGGCTTTGGAGGTGAGATTTTGCATCTATTTAATACGGCTAAAAGAGGTGATAGTTTTTATGTAATTCAAGAGCGTACCGTATTCTTAATTATGCCGAGTATAGAATTTGGCTCTCAAAGATAAAATTTCAACCCGTTTTTAGTAATTCTCGTCTCTATAACCTCTAAGAAGCACTGAGAACATTAGATTGAGAGGCAGAACATTACAAACGTCCATGCAAGTGTTTCTAACAAAAATCACCGTCGTGAGTTTAAAGTTATTTTTGCGGCGTATGTTTCCTTCCCTTGGACAGTGTTTGGCTGTGTCTTTTTAGTCAGGGACCGGAACGTCACGGAGGATGAGCCTTTCGCTTTTTGTGGCACTGGCAAGTTTTCTACCGCGAAAAAAGCTTAATCGTTTGCCAACTGCAGAACGTCTAGAACTTTAAAAATTATAATTTATGCTTACCGTTTGTTATGGTTTGTGTTACTACGAGTGTATGACTCGATCACTGCCCGCAGGCATTTAAAGCAGAAACTTTTTAAGTCATCACAGAAATTTCCAAAAGGGTAAGCTAGTGCTCGATATAATTACTTGTTAAATAACTTACTACAAATGACGCGGGTACAGTCTAAACCTAAAAGAGCGGTCAGAGTACGTGCGGGCGTGAAAGCATTATTAATTGTTGCAAATGTCTCCATCTTTTTGGTCTGGCAATTAATCGCTTACTCCATTTGCCACGTCTAGTCTTCGATGAAGGAAGATAAAGATTTACATGTGATTAAACAAGAATGTTTCCTTTTTTATTTATTCTGTATTTAGCACTTTTAGCTAATTGCAGAAATATTAGAAAGGGCAGGAAGCGAGACGTTCAAAACAAAATTATAAATTCTCTTGTGCTG